TACCTCTCTTTTCTATGGATAGCACATTGGTCCTGCCCCTATAGAAAAAAAAAAAAATGAAGGTTCCTCAAAATAGACCTGTCACATGGTCAAGCATCCCATTCCTTGGTATTTATCCAAAGAAGGTAAAAACACTAATTCCAAGGAATATGTGCCTCCTATGGTCACTGCAGTGCTGTCTACCATAACCAAGCGATGAAGACAACCTTAGTGCCCAACGGCAAATGAGGGGATAAAGAACACAAGCTATATACACAATGGAATACTACTCGGCTGTGAAAAAGATGAAATATGGATTTGCAACAACATGGATAGATATGAATGGGATTGTGCTAAATGAAATAAGTTGAAGGGGAAAGTTAAGTACTGGATGATTTCATATTGTAATATAAAGAAACAAAGCAGGGACAGATGAACTAAACCAAAACATATATGACTGCAGAATGGAAGTTATGGGCTGGGGTAAGAGTAGGAAACAAAGTAGGAAGAGGGCCCAATGGACTATGGTTAAGACTGTGGGTGCCGTTAGTGTGGGTGTGATGTGGTAACAAACATCTGAAGAGGTGTGACCTCGCCTCAACACATGCAGTGTTGTAAAACCAATGCTAACCTCAATACAGTGAAGGTAAAAAGAAATTGTCTCCTCCATCAGTCACTGACCTCAGGACTTTGCCTTTACCTCCTCACTGTCAAGCAGGCTGAGGGGCTGGTTTCCCTCAAGGTCAGAGGCAGGAGGTGCAGGGACTCCTGGGGCTGCTCAAACACTGCTGAGTAGAGACACTACAGAGAGGGCGGCTGTGAGGGGAACCAGAGACAGAGGGTCAGAGTAACCTCAGTGCTGAGTGAGGGTCTGGTTCCCAAGGAGAGGGGAGTATGTATGTGGGTGTGTGTGTGTGTGTAAGAGGAATGGCAGGATAAGATGATGGGAAATCAAATAACATCCAGCCCCAGAATAAATTATTCAAATCGCACACAGAGTAAAGTGTGTCAGAACAACACCTCTGTAAATACAGGTCCATGCAGAAGCAGCTTCTGAGCAGGGCTAAAAAAGCACTGGACCTGAAGAAGAGGAGGAGGTTTAGAAATATCTCATGGTTGCCTTGAGATGTAAAGAGCTGGGCAGGATCCCTCCCCCACCCTGGCCCCTGCTAGGATGTGGTGGCATCTTCACCCCTGACAGCTCCCTCCCCCAACCCCAATGTTCATCTCCTTTGGAGTCATCTGTATATGTACATATATGTACATGTGTAATGCCAGCTTCTTCTTAATTTCCCACCTGTCTGGGGCATTCAGGTGGTGTCCATAGCTTGGCTACTGTAAATAGTGCTGCAGTGGTGACAGGAGTGCAGGTCCCTTCACAGGAGAGTATTTATCCTCTGTGAGTAGATCCTCAGTGTAGAATTGCTGGGTCCAATGGCAGAACCACATTCACTCTTTAAGAAACCTCCGTACTGTTTCCATAAGGGCTGGCTCCGTCTTTATCCAAAAACAGTGCACGACTGTCCCCTTTTTTCATCCTTGCCAGCACTTGTTGTTTCTGGTCTTTTGGATATGGGCCATTCTTGCAGGTGTGAAGGTTTAAACCAGGGATCATAAAGCCACACAATATGGGCGAAAAGAAATCCTGTAACACTCAGGCCCACGGAAGGCTGTCTAATACCCTGAAAGAAAATAATGATGAAGAAATTCAGGTGAATTACCTCAGTGTTAACAATATCAATGGTCCATTGCATTCTCAGGATGTCCTCCTGAAAGCATCCCCATAATCTTGTCCCAGCCACTGTGCCACAAACCCCAGCCCCCCAGCAGTCTTCGAGGGTCTCACCTTTAAGGTCTGAGATACACTTCAGAGCACTGGGACTGTGGCTGCTGGGGGAGAACACATCAAAACTTGGTCAGAGATGAGACCACAGAAGGAACTGATGAGAGTGACTCCCCCATGGGCTCCATCTACACTGTCCCCAGGGGCTCAAGGATCCAACCCTTGAACACACTTACTTGCAGCCTGAGTGTAGCTTCCTCCTTGTCCTCCTGTGGGAAGAAGTATCATGAGAGACCAGGAGGAGTCAGGTCAGAAGCCTAAAGGAATCATCTAATCCTGCACCACAGGGAAGTTTCCAGAACTGTGAGTAAAGACCCAGGTCAGGACTGGGAAAAATGAAGAAAGGAGATGAGAGGGGATTGAACCAAATACCCTCTGGGCAACACACGTGTGTGGATGGTACTTCCCATTAACCAGGCAGGGCAAGTTCTCCCTGGGACATGAAAGCCCCCAGTGGACAAGATCTCCCCACTCCCTTCCCTACCTGAGAACTTCTTTTACCCCCTCATACATGAAGCCACCTTGTGTCCAATGAGCACACCAACAAAGAGAACCAAGCCAGAAATGAGGACGACAGCAAGGATGGAGAACTGAGGAGGGGAAACTGAAAGGGAAGAGAAGGTCAGACCCTGAACCTGAGGCCTCAGTCTGACCCTCTGAAGGTCTGCAGAAGGGAGAAGGGCATCCTTCTGATGCCCCTGAGTCAGCCGTGTGCCCACATCTCCCTCCTTACTCCATCTCAGGACTCGGGGTGCAATCAGCCCCTCATGCTGCACATGGCATGTGTATCTCTGCTTCTCTCCAGAAGACACCTCCACAGCTGCCCACTTCTGGTAGTTTCCATCCCCCTCCCTGGCCTGATGTTCACAAGCTCCATTTCCTGGGGCCATGTCCTCTTCATCTCTCTGCCAGGCCAGGGTGATGTCCGCAGGGTAGAAACCCAGGGCGCAGCACCTCAGGTTGACCTCATGCCCAGAGATGGGGTGATGGGTCACATATGGCGACTGGGGGCCTGAGTGGGAAGAATCAGAAATTTCGTGCTTTGTGTTTCCTCCATGGACACTGAAGCAGCCTCATGTGACCATCCTGCAGTGGACAGAACGGTGAATATGGAGGGAGGGGCACAAACCCCAGAAACCAGCCTCGTCTGGGAGTCTGGGATAGCAGGTGAGAGCCCAGGGAGGGATGCAGGTCTCTAAGCATTTTGTTGCTGACTTGGGTGGAGGGTGATGACACAGACAGGCAGGAGTGAGATCTCCAAAAATGCTCTCTGACCAAAAAACAAGATCTCGACAGAGAAACTCATTGTTCCTATGATGGCTGCCGGTCAAAAGGATCCTGTGAAGGGTGATTTCAGGGTGGTCTCCCCTCTTTCTCAGGAGAAACTGGATTCCTTAACTGTCTTACAGAAAAAGTAGGAGCCTCCAGGCCAGTCTCCATCCCAGAGCTGGAAAACGTGGCCGACAGCTCCCTCTCTGGCCAGAAGGGGGCGCTTCCTCACCCTGATTCCATTTCCCTGCGGGGTGCGCGCCTCAGGGAGATCAAAGCCCCGCAGCCCTCTCACCTCTGAGCTGCGGCGCTCCTTCCCCATCCCCAGGAGTCTGGGGGCCCCCCACGCACCCGCCCCCAAGCTGCTCCCGTCCTGCTCTGCCCGACCTTCCCCCTCCCCCTCGCGCCGGGGAGCTGAGCCGCGGGCCCGCCGGGTCCAGGCGCGCAGGTCCCCGCCCAGGGCGCGTCCCCGGCGCCGTCGCGGGGAGCTGGTCGTGCCCGCGGGGGAGGCGCCGTCGGGCCCCGCGGCGCAGCCCAGAGTCCTCTGGATCGTGGGAGACCCTGAGCCCGCCCTTCAGTCACCCCGTGGTCTCCGCCCGCACCCGATCTCCCGCCCTGAATAATCCCAAACTTAAATGAAACCTAAAGGGTGAAAGTCCCGCGGGCTCTTCCTGGTCTAGGGGCCTGGCAGGGGCCACGGCCTCGGGGGTCACGGGGCCCCGAGACTCGGGGCGGGGGTGGGGCGGGAGCGGTGACCCGCCCCGGCCCGCGCTGCTCCCCGGCCCGGCTCTGGCTGCGGCGGCCGCGCGGGGCCTCCAGGAGCGCTTGGAGCCTCCGCGCCGAGTGTCTGCGGAGCCGCGTCTCCTCGCCCGACCCTCCCGCCCCGCCCGCCCGCCCGCCCAGGGGCCCGCGGCTCCGCGCTCTGGCCGGGGGAGTCGCTGTCGAACCCCGAACTGCGTGTCGTCCACGTAGCCCCGCGATGCACCGGGGCTCCCCGAGGCCGGGCGGGACATAGCGGTTTCTAAAACCCTCAGAGAGGGGGAGCCTGGGGGCGGGGAGGGGTGAAAGCCAGGCGGACCCTCCTCCAGGAGCAGGTCCTGAATCCCGGGGAGATGGGGCAGGGGAGAAAGTGTCCAGGAGGGAGGGAGCTCCAGAGACTGAACATGGGCAGCGGGTCCAGAAGGGGCAAGACTCAGGGGACAAAAGGAGGAGGCAGGGTGGGGGGACAGAAAGGGACTAGGACTGAGGGGCGCCACGGGGGTGACAGAGGGGCCTAAGGCAGCAGCTTCCTCTGCAGAAGCCTTTTCCCTCCACCCTGCACTCACCAGCCCAGGTGTCTGTCTGGGCCAGAGCCCTGGAGAGAAGCAGCAGGAGGAGGGTTGGGGGCCCCATGACCAGCACTGCTGGGGTCTGGGGAGCTTCTGACTCCAGGCTGGTGGGTGGAGACTTACCTGGGCAGGCAGTGATGCTGACTGGTTCTCTGGGAGCCTCAGGCACTGGGGACTGAGAACTGGGGAGGAGTCACAAGTGTCCAGGGCCCAGCACAGGTGGTGGAGACAGAAGGGAGGCTAAGGGGACAGTGGGGTATCCCCAACAGTAACCTTCCTGCCCTGGACACATCCCTGGGGCCTGGAACTATGAGAACCAGACTAGGGACCTGGGGCTTTGCTCTGGCCCCTCCTGTCCTCACCCAAAGCTTCCTCACCCTGTCTCCATGACCCAAGCACTGGGTCTGCGATTCTCAGTCATTTTCCTTCCCGGATCCGTGTCCAGTCTGACAAATTAGGGAGGACGCCAAGTATAATCTTGTTTAGGAGGTATTGCTCCCCATACTTACCACACTGGGAATAAAGCTGAGTTTGATCCTGTAGCTGTTTCATTTAGAATAATAGTAATAATCCAATACGTGTTTATAGAAAGTGTTCTTAAGAAAAGTAACTTATTTCTGAAAATAATCATGGCAATAAGAAGAGTGGATATTTTACATTTTTTATTTTTGCAATTGTCTTTCTTGTCTGTCTCATTAGAAGACAGTAGGATTTTCATGTTCCCTTCTGCATTTATTTTTTTTAAGATTTTATTTTTATTTATGCATACAAGAGCTGGGGTACATGGCAGAGATGCAGGGCATGAGAGGATTCACCAGAGACAGAGCAGGGAACAGAACAGGTGGACTGACTGAAATATACTGCCAAGGGGAGCAGCAGGAAAGTCAGGAGAGGTCTGCTGAGCCATGTTGGTTGCTCCCTGGCTGGCCTGGGATGGGACTCTGTGCTGCAGAAGCTGCGGATTGCTTCACAGCGTGGTGCTTAACCCCTGGAGTCACCAGGGAGGCCCTCCTTCTGCATTTAGTCTGTGGTTCTGGTTGAAGTCTATGAAAAATGTATACACCCTCACACAAGTATGTTGGAGTAGTATTCACATAATATGAATATTCCACTTCGATACTAAATTAAAACTATATAGGTGGTATTTTCTCAAAGGTTACTTGCGAAGTCCAACCTGAAACAATATCACTGAATATTTCTTATTCTGTTACATTTCCATAGTCCTCTCTTGCATATTAATGGGGTCTTGTGCTAATGTGTGATTTTTTTTTAAAGATTTATTTATTTATATAAGCACTAGGTACAGTCAGAAGCGTGGGAAGGTGAGAGAATTCACCAGAGCCAGAGCAGGGAACAGAATTGGCAGACTGATGAAATACACTGCTGAGGGGAGCAGCAGGCGCGGCCGGAGAGGTCTGTGCACCATTGGGGACCCTCGCTGGTGGCCAGGGATTGAACTGGCACTGCAGAGGCTGTGGGCAGCTCTGCAGCCCAGCGCTCAACTGCTGCGCCACCAGGGGAGGCCCTAATGTGTGAATTTTTTAAGTAATGTATTGTTTCACTAAGTTAAAAAGCTCTTCAGTGTTCATTACACTGGAATAAAATTATTTTAAAAAATTCATTTTATTTTTCACCACAAATCCCAAAAGTAAAAGTAGTACTGGAAATTGTCAAGTTAGTGACAGGACACAATTTTCCATATTCTGTTTTTTTCTGAGCGCTTACATTTTGTCAAGGTGAAGTTACTCTCAGTTATCAATTGTCAGTTGATTTTCTTAAAGGAGCACACACTCATTTTCAGGACAATGTCTGCTCATTAACCAAATCAAATAGCCACAGTTTTTGTCATTCATTCGTTCATGTGAAGGTGGTATTGCCTACGAAAAAAGAAAAACAGTCTAATTCATCTCATGCAAATATGTTCCTTGGCACGTGGTAGTTGGGAACGCAGCAGAAATACTCTGTGTGCACTTGCATGTCATCATATCAGGTGCTGTAAAATGTGGATTTGAGGATTATAAAATAATGAAGATAATTTTCAGTGTTTCAGCCAAGACACTTTGAAATGAAACTGGCTTGGAATTGTGCTTCTGAGGTAAGAAGTGGTGAAGAATAACTACTACTGCAGTTAGTAATATAAGCTCCATTTTTACTAAGTTTTACCTCAGCAGATGTCAGAATAGTGAAAAGACAAATGGTGTCTAAGTGACATTTTGAAAATAGTTTTAACCTCATGGACCTTGTGACAAGTTCTGGGTGACTTCAAGGATTCCACAACCACACTTCGAGAAATGCTTTTCTCAGGGAACCAGGGAGCATCTCCCAAGTGTTCTCTTCATCACTTCCCAGAATCCCTCTCCCTGGCTGGCTCCTGCCTCCCCAAGCTGCCTCCCCTGCAGATACAATGGAGAGCAGACAGAGGACCCTGGAGATGTGGAGCTTGCACTGTCAGGAGAGATGGACACTGAGCAAAGGTGACAAACACACGTGTAAACCCAACCTGAGCCCCGTGCTGGCAGGATGGAGTGTGCATATTATGAAAGCAGAGAAGAAGGAGCACTAACTGGTCCCCTTCTATTATTTTAAATAATATCGAAAGATGTAAAAAATAAATTAAAAACAAGGCCTCTCTGATGGCATCAGGGTTAAATATCAGTGTTATCACTGTGTGGAACTGAGTTTGACCCCCTGCCAGGGAGCTACCCACATGGTGCAGCAGACCTCTTCTGTCTCACCCACCGCTCCCCTCAGCAGTGGATTTCAGTGAATCGGCCTGTTTGGCTCCCCACACTGTCTCTGGGGTATCCTCTCACCCTCTGCACCTCTGGCCTACACCCCAGTTCTGATATGCATAAATAAATAAAAAATAAATCTTAAAAAAAACAAAAAAAAGAATACCCTGCAGCATCAGGTACAAGATCCGTCTCAGACCCAGCAAACAGCAGAGGCTGGGGACCCAGTGGTGGTGCAGCTGCAACAAAACACTATCAGGGACTTAGTCAGCGGGAGTCAGGCTTTGTCGTCAAATGAGTTTGATGCCAAACTACAGAGGGTCAGTCCACCCAGCACTGGTGGGCCAAGAAGCCTGGCTGCTCTGCAGGCCCAGTCAGCAGTCAGGCACCGCCTGGGAGACTCAAGGGATAGCTTTTAAGTTTGGCTTAATCTAGCCCTTTGTTTAATTTCTGTATATCCACATCTAAGTGATACATTTGTCTTTCTCCATTAGGCTTATTTCAATTAGCTCCATCCGTGTTGCCCTAGATGGCATGAGTTTATGTTTCTTGATGAGTAATATTCTATTATCTATGTACAACCCCTTCCACAGCTCGGCTACTGTAAATAGTGCTGCAGTGATCAGGGGGTGCAGGTTTCCTTTGAAGTAGTGTAACATCCTCTGCGGGTGTGCTGGCACCTGCCACCCTAAGGGGAGCCAGAGTCTCTGAGAGCACCTGCTTACTCTGCACAGGAGGTTCCAGGAGGTTAGAAGTTCTGCAAACAGAACTTCTTCCCCAAATGAACTCCTGTTCCCTGAGGACATGCTGACTTGTGTGCATGATCCCTACTAACTAGAAAAACTTGTTCCAGCAGTAACTTATTCAGTGTATAAGTATAAACACAATTGCACGCTGTTTCCTTATCCCTTTGTTCATATCTTTAATAAGAGCTTGGGCTGGGAGAGTGAGAGGCAGAGCTGCTCTAGAGGGTTCTCTCCAGCCTCCTCCTGCTGCTAATTCATTTAGACTTCGAATCCAGTTCATAGCTGAGAACTTCTCATGGGCCATCTGAGGCAGGGTAGATACCTTGGGATGGGACTGCTGAGTCCTATGGCAGATGCTCAGTTAATTTTCTAAGAAACCTGGACGTTGTTTTCCATCAGGGATGAACCAGTCTATATTCCCCAAATCAGTGCAGGACCGTGCCTTGTCTCCATGTCCTACCAGATCTTGTTAGGTCTGGTCTTTTTGATATGGGCCATTCTCACAGGTGTGAAGTAGTTTCTCATCGTATTTTAAATCAGGGGATCTTGAATGGATCAAGAAGATGGGGTATACTTCAGTCCCATGAGAATACCCATATTAAAAATGGAAAAACCAGAAGCAACAAATGCTAGAGAGGATGTGGAGAAAAAGGAACTCTCCTGCATGGCTGGTGGGAATGCAAACTGGCCCAACCAATATTCAGAGCTGTGTGGAGGACCCTCAAATTACTACAATTGGATCTACCTAATGATCCAGCAATTCCATTCCTACGAATCTACCCAAAGGACATAAAAACACTAATTCAAAAGGAAAACTGTACCGCTATGTTTATTTCAGCAATATTTACAGTAGCCAAGATATGGAAACAAACCCAATACCCCCAAATCAACAAATGAGTCAAAAGGTTTTGGTATATTTAGACAATAGAATATTACTAAGTGAAGAAAAAAGACAAACTCATCCGATTTGCAGCAACGTGGAAGGAGCTAGAAGGAATTATGCTCAGTGAAATAAGTCAGAAGGAAAAAGAAAAACAACAGGTGGCTTCACATATAGGAGGAATATAGGGGAAACAAATAAGACATAGGGGAAAAATAATAACAGTACAAAACATAACAAAGCAAAACAAAAAACAAAACAAAACAGACAATTATAAACCAGAGACATCCTTCAGGGGAGCCTAAGGGAGAGAGGCACACAGGGGGCTGTGGGGATGGTGCACGGTTGCACTGGTGGAGGAACTTCTATGGGGACTACACCTGAGGAGGAAAAAACAAACATTGTTTAAAAATGAACAATGTTGTAAAATATATATAAATAAATTAATTAAAAAAATAAAAGTAAAAGAACTTTTACAGTAAAAAAAAAGTCTGACCTCCAATCCTGGTAACAATCACAGTAACAATGCTTGTCTGTCTGTGCTCCCCTCCAGTGTGGCCATGAATACAAGGAGATTCATTCTGACATTATAGTGGGGAGGGAGGTGGGGAAACCAGCCTGCGTTTATCTGAGATCCTTTCCCTGCTGCATGTGGAGTGTTACCCTGGAGTAACATTACATCTTCCAAGAGCTGATGGACCCTGCCCCATCTCTCCCTCCCTTCCTGTACTGTAGACAGAGGTTCAGCTCAGTAATTGGGGTGACCTGGGCTAATCCTGCCCCTGGGCCAGGCCAGCAGGACACACATTTCTCCCTCCCCCTGTGGGACTCCCGCCAGCTCTGGTCTAGAGAGAAAGTAGCTGCAGCCCATGGAGGCAGTGACCCCTGGAAAACAGAGCGGGTGCCATGCTGGAGCTCCCTGACTCTGAGGCCTGTGTGTTTTCTACAGTGACCCCAAAGAAGAACTTGAAGTGAACATTGGGGGCAGGGGGAGGGAACTGTCAGGTGCAACCACATCCTAGCAGGGGCCTCGAGGGGGTCCTCCCCAGCTCCTTCAGCTCAGTCCAACCACAACATATTTCTAAACTTTCTTCTATTCTGAGACCCAGTGCTTCTTCACATCCTGCTCAAAGACAGCTTCTTCATGGAACTGTACTTATTGAGGTGTTTTGCTGACATTCTTCCTCTCTGTGAGATTTGAATTTATTTATGCTGGGACTTGATGTATAATTCTCCCCCATTTTCTTGTGTTGTGTGCCCTGTCTCTCCTGTTACATACACACACACACACACACACACACACGCACACACACATACTCCCCTCCCCTAGGGAACCAGACCCTCATTCAGCACTGGGGGTTACTCTGACTCTCTGTCTCTGGTTCCTCTCAAGAGCCGCCCTCTCTGCAGTGTCTCTACTCAGCAGTCTCTGAGTAGCCCCAGGAGTCCCTGCACCTCCAGCTTCTGCCCTTGTGGGAAACCAGCCCCTCAGCCTGCATGACAGTGAGGAGGCGAAGGCAAAGTCCTGAGGTCAGTGATGGATGGAAAAGACAATTTTTCTTTTGCTCAAGATAGTTTCTCCCCCCAGCCATGATTGTATTATTTCTACTGAGGTAACATGGGTTTACATACTGCATGTGTGCAGAAGCACAGGGTCAAAACTCTTCAGGTGTTTGTTACCACTTCACACCCACCTAAGTGCAACCACAGTCCTCACCACCGTCACTGGGCCCTCTTCCCACTTTGTTTCCTACATCACACCCTCTCCCATCCCTCCCACATAGCCTCATATTTCTAGAGTATGTTTTGGTTTAGTCTCATCTGTCCCTGCTTGGTTACGTTATATTCCACTAATGAGTGACATCACTCAGTAGTTGACTTTCTCATTCTAACTTATTTCACTTAGCATAATCCCCTCCACATCTATCAATGTTGCTGCAAATTTAACTTTTCACAGCTGAGTAGTATTTCATTGTGTCTGTCTACCACCTCTTCTAACCCACTCATCTGTCATTGGGCACTGAGGTGTTTCCATAGTTGGTTATTGTGCACAGGCTGCAGTGAGCACAGGAGGCGCATATCCTTTGGAATTAGTGCTTTTACCTTTGGATATATACCAAGGAATGGAATACTTGACCATATGAAAGGTGTATTTTGGATATTTTGGGAAACCCTCCTTTTGTTTTTTTTTTGGCCTATGGGCAGGACTGTAACAGTGTGATATCCATAGTAAAGGGAGGTTCTGTTACCAGGCAGGGTGAGGGACCCAGGACTCCCAAACCTGCCCACGCTAAATGGGTTCTGCCCTCAGCCACATAAAAACAAAACATACTCTAGTGCATAAGACATTAAATGGGAAGGAACTTTAATACAATCACTGTGTAAGAAAGAGAATGAAGGGACAGAATAGAGAATATGTTTCCCAATCAAGCACCCTAATTTACCCATTTACCTCAACCAAACAGTTTGATCCAAAACAGGGACACTGAGCCCCAAAACCTGTCAAAAGTCTAAGGTACCTTCTGGTGGGGACCCATAGGAAAGGGGCAGAAAGAGCCAGACAAGTCTGGAAGGAAAAGAACAAAATCAAAATCAAGATAAATGTTACCACTGTAATCTCCCCACAGATCTCTCACCCATGTCTGTTTCCAGTGTCTCCTTCCATGTCCCCCCAAGTCTCTGGCACATGTCCAAGGTTGAGAAGCAATCACAGCTTCTTCACCTGTTCCCATCTTTGCTGCTGTTAGAGCCTGGAAGGGAAGGTGAAGACCTGGAACTGGGATTTATTTAATTAATTCATTAATTAATTTCTTTATTTAATTTACTCTAATGCATAAGGTCTTCAATAGAAGAGGACTTCAGTACACTTAGTGTGCAATAAAGAGAATAGAAAGACTATAGTTAAAGTAGTTTCTAAATGAAACACCCAAAGTTACCATTCCATTGGGTGTAAATGTCCAGCCAAACAGGGTTGGCCCAGAGCAGGACTGCTGAGGCCTGAGAGCTTACAACAAGACCAAGGCACCTTCTGGTGGAGACCCATAGGAGAGGGGCAGAAGTGGCCAGGCAAGACTGAAAGGAAAAGAGCAAAATAAAGATGATATAGGGCAAAAGAGGCACTAAAGCTGGCCAAGGACAGTGCCCAAATAGTTTACCAGTCTGAGTTCTCCCTGTGCACACAATTACAAAACCACTCAGCCTCAGAGGACAACAATAATGGGGTGTATTTAAAAACCAGGGAAAAACAAAGAGTTCCTGAGACCACAAATGGCCGTTTACCTCACCTGAAGCAGTGTCCAGTGTTGTAAAGTCCTAAACACAAATGTTCCCAAGTAGCGTCTTCCTGCCACTGAGGGCCTGGAGCACGTGGCTGCCAGACTATAGGCCGGGATCCAGTTCACGAAGACAGCAGAAGACACAACAGGAGATGCTCAACGGAGCTGCCGAGATGCCCCAGCACAGCACAAGACAAGTGACACTGAAAACAGCTGCCGCAGCTGCCAAAAGACCTGATGAATGACCACACTCAAAGCTTAGAGAGGCGCCGGGCTCCAGGTCTCGCCTTCCCTGCCAGGCTGTGACAGCAGCAAAACTGGGAAAAGTTTCAGTCACTCAGCTACTTGCAAAGCCTCCGAACATTTCCTCTCTGAGGTTGGCTGCAGAAAACACAAATAAATGGACATATATACCTTTTCCTTTTAAAAAAGAACAAATTGCAAAATTTACAGTACCTGAATTCAAAATTTACTAAAGCTGCATTAATCAGGACAGTGTGATCCTGGCCTAAGTCCTGACAGGCATCAACAGAACAGATTAAGTGTCTGGAAATAGATACACTTGGGCAATCACTTAATTTTTAACAAACACAGCAAAGTAATGCATTGGGTCAAGGAACACCTTTTCAATGAAAGGTCCGGGAATAATCGGATATTCAACTGGAAAGTTTATTTAAAAGAAACCTGAATATTCTTCAGCATTGCTCTCATCCAGCACCACACTCTCTGTTACCCTTTTCTAGTGACACATTAGTAATGTATCACTACTGATTCGTGTCAGCAATAAAGACGTTGTTCCCCTGTTCCAGTGCTATTCCTACTACAGGGATAGCACCTTGTCTTTATTAAAAAAACTTTTTAAATTATTAAAGTAGCAGTAGTCATTAATAACAGTTCCAGTATTAATGAAAAAGTACACAGTAATTGTCCATTATCATACAACCCAGGAATCACTGAAATTGAGATGATGTTTTCAAGCTTCTACAAATGATATCATAAACTTTGTATAATGCCTTTTTACTTAATACTGTTTGGCACATGCTTGTCTTTTTTATGATTCCTTGCAATTTTAATATTTTTGTCGAATGTAACATGACCATATTAGCTTTCATTTCAGCTTATTCTCATGACATTGTATGTCGTTTTCATGACATTTCATTTCCCAAAGAAATAAATTTTAACTGCAAACTATATCCAAATTGTATATCTAATAAACGTCTACTTCTGGAGTATCTAGCAAACTCATGACTCTTCTGTGGAAATTGCCCATTTTACAATCCTCTATCAAAAATGTAATTTGACTGTTGAGCAGACAAGGGAGTAAGGGTGGAACAAATTCTTTTTTGTCTTTTTGTTATGTTAGACATATTTTGTGTACTATGTATACTTAGTTATGACACTTTCCACAAGGAAATTTAGGGCAGATTTCAAAACTGAGCACTTCAAAATTATATTCAAGCATCCTGTTACAAGAAAAATCACAGAAGCAGTCTTCAGGCAGTAAAATGGATGACAGGTAAGATGGTCCATGGCCACTGTTAATTGTTGAAGTTCTGGCAACATGAACTAACTGGTCAACTATGGTCTCATCCAGGAATTTCAACATTATGTACAAGAATAAATCTTGCCACTTCATGTGGCCTTCCACTATAGCCCACTTTGTGAAGTGAAGACCAGAGAGAGGCAAACTTCAGGGAGAAAGAAGACAGGAGGACATGCAAAAAGGAGAAGCAGATTTTGACCAAGAGCATTTTCTAGAATCTGGCAGCTTAGTTGCAAGTTTCACTTCCTTCCAGAACTCCAGTGCATTCCTGCCTTTGAACTCTGCGAAACTTTTCAATCATTGCAATACCGAGCTCCCAACTTTATGTCAAATCAAGTTTCTCTTAAAAAGGCCCATATAATACAAAAAGATATGACTTTCGTGGGAGAATTCTCTCGTCTTCTGACTCAGTGCACAAACCACCAGCTCCTCTATGTATAATAGTATGACTTGGGAGATTTTCTCTCATCAGCATGAGAGAATATGTTTAGTATATTCTTTGACTTTGCCCTTGGAGAGATTTAGTCCTTCAACCTAAGGGTCCCTGTGAGCTATAAACTTAGTGTTTCCAGCTCACATACTGAGATGCTGATAGAATTACCCAGGTCATCTCTGCTCTCTTGAAGTCTCAATGTCAAACTCGTATGCATATTTTTTCTGGCATGAGAGGATTTCTTGTCAGAATGCATAGGATTCAATAATCAGTGATCCTTCAAGTAGTTTAATTCTAGTCCCTTTCGAATCTTGGAAATAAAATCAAATTTAATTTGCTCTATTATTGTTCCCAATGTAGTCAATAATTTCAATACTCTGAGAAGGAAGTATTTGTTGATTTTTGAATGTCAATCTGTTTTCAAAAATTTTTTGTTGGGTGAAACATAAATTTGCATGGCATATTTTCAGTGACTACAACGAGAATGACATTCACTAACAGCGTTAAAATATTTTATTTTATTTATTTTTTTAAAGATTTATTTATTGATGCATACAAGGTCTGGGGTACAGGCCAGAGGTGTGGGGGGGTGAGATGATGCACCAGAGACAGAGTGGGGAACAGAACAGGAAGACTGACGGAAATAAACTGTGGAGGGAAGCAGTGGGTGAGTCAGGAGAGGTCTGCTGCAGGGATCAAACTGGGCAGGGATCAAACTCATGCTGCAGTGGCTGCAGACAGCTTCATAGGCTGTGTCTTAACCCCTTGCACCACCAGGGAGTTCCCTGTTAAAATATTTTAGTATTACCAATACAATTTTTATTGATCGAAATAGCTGAAGGGTATGTCTAGAAAGACAATAAAATCATAAAGATGTCTAAAATTAACACAGCTAGAAAACATCCTGATACGAATTTTTCTCTCACATGACAAAGAATATTATATTGACAACACATTTGGCAATTCTGTCTACTTTGTATGAGATATTTTAACTTAGAAAACCAGTTTATAGATATATTAGGTTTTAGACACTTGATTTCTCTGTGCTTCTGTAAAACACCCGCTCTTAAACTATTGTGAACATTTATTAAAACAAGTAACTCAAGCAAATACTGTTCATTAAATATTCAACACTCTTCTAGGTGCTGTGGGTGATGTAGGAAAAAAAAGGTGAGCTGTGTTCTTTGCCCTCCTTTACTTGGCAAAGTAGCTGGGGAATCTATAAAGCAATAGTGATAAAACAGGACAATGTAGAGTGATGTGTGCTGATTTTCTTTTTTTAAGTTATGAGATGAGGAGACAGAAACAAACGAAAAAGGGAAACAGAAGGAAGAACAAAAAATAAAGGACACTTTCACTTCTGACAACTTTTCTGTTGTTCCCTTTTTGGGGCGCCACTGGAATGAATCGAAGCTGAAGCTGTTAGAGAGAACTTCCTAGAGAGGTGGGATTTGATTTGGGGACTGAAGGTAAACATAGAGCTTGGAAGGAGAAATGACTAAAAGGACAACCTAAGTCAAAGTATGTTGTCAGTTGCCATAATTATGTCAGCCAATTCCTTGTAATACTTATAAAAAAATCATTTACACACACACACACACAATCTACAGGACTATTTGTTTGGACAACTCTAATACATCTACCCTTTCATTTTTAGCTAAACTGCTATGTACAGTTGGGAATCTGTGCAGTCTTCTTTTCCACCAATATTTCTGTATCCCATGTCAGGGACAGGGCGGGGCTCTGTGTTTAATGGTCATTTTCATTAAACTCATGTTTCTCCTATACTCAATTTCCTCTCAGTTCTCTTTTCTGAAACTACATTTCTTCATCCGGTGTTAAACTCTTCCTCTGAGCCCAGCATTCTCCCCACACTGTCATCAAAAGAAACATAAGGTGCTGATGGTGCAAGAAAAGCAGCAACTCACTGGCAACACAGGTTTTAGGGCATCGTCATCCATCTTCCCATCACAGGGACTTTCTCCCCGGCTATTTCTCTTCTCGGGCCCTGTCTGTCACCATCGTGCTTAACTTCCCTCTATTTTTACACCTTGCTCCCAATTTCTTCACTCTTACAGGAGCCCCACTTTGCCGACCTGTCTCCCCAAAAGGGTTGGGTGGGCTTCTCTCCACACGCCCAGGGAGGGTCTCCTCCAGGGATGTCACCAGCGTGGAGACCCTGTGCCTAAGGAAGCTGCTACTGTCACTTCAATAGTGCAGAATATTTTAAAGTAAGAGTCATGAGGACTTAGGAGCTTTTTGTCCTTTTCCTTTTCCTGATAAAAGAAGTAATCACGGCTCCCCCTTTTAGAGCCCACAAGAATGTGTCAGTAGTTTGGAGGGAACCATCCTGGTCACGTGTACAGTGACCATGTCTGCTCCCCCGAGAATCTCACCTTTACTCTCAGAGAGAAGCTGAGTCACCCCCTTCTCATCCGCCCAGCATGGGATGTCTCTCCCCCGCTCTCCTGATGCCTCAGGGCCCTAAACACAGAGTAAACATCACAGGCTCACACCATTATTCTTCAGAGTTCATAAGCATGTAATATTCCACACACATGCTATTAAATTTTGGTCTGTTTGCCCACGAATCTATCTGTTGTGAATTTGCTCATCCATTTAGTTTTAGAAGAACCCAGATGGGGTGGGGGGAATTCTCCCTCGCCCCAACACAACTCCCTCATCTGGAAAAACCCTCATTTCTGTTACCTTAGTGGGCAAAGGAATTTATCTCTTTTGACTAAACCTCTTTCATCAAAAGTTATTTTAATTAATAATACAAAGATGTGAATTTTAATGTCCTCTTTTGAATAGGGGTTTTGTCTATTATTTTTCAGAGAACCAGTGAGATGACAGTAATTTATTCCAGGGTTTTTAAGATACGCTGTGCCAGGCATGGCCATAGGTGCTAGGGAGAAACCAGTGAACAATCAGGCAGTCTCTGCTCCCATGGAGGACAGTGGCAGACCCTAATGTTTGCCTTTTGTAAAAACCATTCACTCTTCTTTTTTTTTTACTAAATGATGCTAATTTTATTGGAGCTAATATGCCATGTTTTTTCAGTCACATTTCCCAGTTCCCTGTGTACCTATAACAGACCACATGACATTATTTTAATAATGAAATATAGGTGAAAAACTTATATTCTGAGTTAGCATTGGTCAAATTTCTTTAAGGGGGATTAGTGAGGGGGCAACGAGTGTGGACCTCTGGGCGTGGAGTGTTCCAGGCAGAAGATGAGTGATTGCAAGCGTCCTGGGAGGGACCATGTCTGGAGTGTCCAGGGAGAGCAAGAATGGTGGTGCTGCTGGAATGCAGGTGTCGGGGAAGAAACTATTCGTTGTCCATCCTGGGATAGATTTCCGGATGCTCCACACAATAAAATTACAGAGAAACCAAAACAATTCCCTTCTGTTAAATCTTTTGTCACACGCTCCTTCACCACAAAGTTTAAGAACTGAGCAATTTTCAGTTGCTACCATTTTGTCTGGAAGAAGGTCACACACATGGAATCATGCAATAGGGAACCTTTTGAGACAGACTTTTTTTCCCCCTCTGCATATCACCTTTAAGCCTCATCTGGGTTGCTGAGTGCATCAATAGGTTTTTATCTATTTCCTATTGAGTAGTGTTTGGATGGTGTGTATGCATTTTTCATCCATTTACACACTGAAGAATGTTGGGTTGTTTCCGGTTTTTGGTGCTTGTGAATAAATCTACCATAATCTTTCTATTATCAAACCCATTCAGTGACCTTTTAATTTTAGTTTTCTCATTTCTTGATATATATTTCAATATCCTTTATTTTTTTTGTTTTTTTTTTAAAGATTTATTTATTTATTGATACAAGCACTGGGTACAGTCAGAAGCGCAGGAGGGCGAAAGAATTCACCAGAGCCAGAGCAGGGAGCAGAACAGCCAGATGAACGAAGTACACTGCTGAGGGGAGCAGCGGGCAGCAGGAGAGGTCTGCCCGCCATGTGGGACCCTTGCCTGGTGGCCGGGGATCGAAGCAGCGCTGCAGAGGCTGCGGGAAGCTTCGCAAGCCTGCTCTCAACCGCTGTGCCACCTGGGAGGCCCTATCCTTTATATTTTATACAAGTTTTAGGTTCATAACAAAATTGGGGAGAAAGCATAGAGCCTCCATACCCTCTGCCCCCAACCTCACAGTCCTCCGTGCTCTCAACTTCCTGCCCTGGAGCGGCACTTTCATACAGCCAACCAAGGTTACCGTACTTCAGTTCTAACATTTTCATTTATATCGTTTTTATATCTTCTCTTCTCTCCCTGAGGTTGTTTGCAATTGCTGGTTTGAGCATTTTCATAAGGGCTGCTTTAAGTTTTCAGATGATTCCACATCCCACGTGTAGGGTAAATGAAGTCACCAGGCCCTTTCATGCCCTCCCGCCTGCACGGATGACCAGGGCCCACGGGTGTGGGCGGGGCACACACGCCTTTGGTTATGGACACCTGGGCCCAGGAGCACAGGGTGCTCTTATGTCAGCACAGGCACCTGTGCTGACGGGGCTGTAAGGGCAGCGACACAACCACCAGACGGACTGTGGGACCACAGTGAGGCAAGGCCACGAGATGACAGGAGACTGAGAATGCCAGAGAACACCAGATTTAAAAGGGAAAAGCCTGGAGCCCGCACAGAGCAGGCTTTTGGGCTGGAGTGGGCACAGTGGGACGGAGGCGCACCATACCCAGGGCACTTGGATGGGCCACTGTAACTGCAGCAGGAAGGGATGAGGGGGCGGGGATGAGGGGGGTCAGAGGAGGTGGCTGCAAAGTGGGCTCTGCTGGGAGCCTGCCATGTTGATCTGCACTCTGTGGGGCCCTCTGCCGGCAGCTCCAAGGATCAGCAGCACCAGAAGTGCCCCAGTGGGGCCCAATGCATCTCCAAGTCTCCCTGGGCCAGAGACCCAGCGTTGTTCATTCTGGGTTGGCAGGACCTGGGAACTGTGGCTACCTGCTGCTTCTGCTGTGAGTGCCTGGGCCCCTGGCCCACAGGCAGCACACGCGGGCAGTGGGCAGGGAAACTCCCTTTGCTGCTGCTTTCAGAGCTGCCTGTGCTGGCTGACCACAAGCTATATAAAAGGGTGGTCCCCAGAAAAGGAGAGGTTCCAGGTTCTCTTGCCCAACCCACGGAAGGGTGAAGCTGAGTGTGTGGAAGAGGAACTGGAGAGAGACGGGGAGAAGGAAGGAAGATGGAGCCAGAAGGAGGCACATGGAGCAGAGAGACACGTGAAGAAGCTGCACTTGCTTCTCGATCTTGTTCTGGTTAAAGCAGATGTGGGTGAGAGGCCTGTGGGGAGGTGAACTGCTGCAGGGGGCCTTGATGCCCCAGCCAGATAAGACACTGGCAAGCAGCTAAGATAAAGGGCCTCACACCATGTGGCTGAAGATTTAACATCCCTTCGCTTTTTGTTCTTGGTCATAAGAAGAGAAAAATTTCTCAGAAAGTACATTAGGCAATAAATTATATGTATCTGTATACTGCAGGCAAATGGCATGGAAAATGATCTGTTTAGAAATTAGTTATTAAACAATTTGGCCCACTTGGCAATGGGAGACAATTTATTGTACATGCCTGACAAGCAATCCAGCACAACAATTATAGTAGGTCCTTCTTTTGCTTTTTAGAAGTTTCTTAGTAAAGTTTTTTAGATGAAGTTAATTGTGATAAGGAGTTTCTAGGTAGAAAAAGTTCTGATAGCTGAGTAGCAGCTGGTCTCCAGCTGAAGGCCATATGAATAGAAGAGTCTTTTAATGCTTAGACTTTAGCTGATAGGGGTGTACTGGCGGCTATCCACTGTCTTAGGTATTTGTCTAGACAGAAATAATAAGTTTTAGTGTAAGGCTTAGTTTTTTATCTATTAACCTTGAAGGCTACCGTCTAGCTGAGACCCGTAGGAGCCAGTAGTCCATGGGAATAAAATACACTAATTGTTTTTGCTTTGCACATGATGATGTAATTTCTCTGCTTGCTAAAAATGAATAAATAAAGACCTGCTGAGTCTCTCAGCAGAAGATCCTTGCACCTCATCGAGTATCAGTGTCTCCTCACTGCCTCATCCCCTTCCCCTCAGCCCCTTTGCTTCACCTAGGCCGACTCCTCCTTTCAGGGACTCCTGACACGACATTTTGCTGAAAGCTGGTCTGCGGCAGTTAACAATGGCAGTTTTTATCTTGATTTTGATTTTGCAGCTTCTGTCCCAGACGTGGTGGGCTTCTTCTGTCCTTTTCCTACGGGGCCCACCAGAAGGTGCCTTAAACTTGTGTCAGGTTTCAGGTCTCAGTGGTCCTGCTTTGGCCCAACCTTGTTTGACTGGGCATTTACCCATGAGGGGGTGGGTAACTTTGGGTGCTTGATTTGGAAACTATATGATCTATTTTTCCCCTCTCTTCGCTTTATTGCTCACTAATTGTATTAAAGTTCCTTTCTATTAGAGGTCTTATGCACTAGAGTATGTTTTGTCTTGATGCAGTGGATGGCAGAACCTATTTAGAGTGGGCAGGTTTGGGGGTTCTGGGCTGCCCCTCACCTTGCTGTGTACCAGGTGTACATGCTGGGACCACAGGCCCTAACACAGCAGCACACCTGCCGCTTAGGCTTTGGGGGGAGCCTGTTTTGTCCTGTGGCTTGTGCCGTGGGGATCTGTTTCACTACTACTCAGTTATTACAATAATCTCCATTCTCACTAGCCTTACCTCAGTGTGAGATGGCCAAGATAAAAGAAATTGTGGGCAGTAGGATGAGTTGTCCCAGTCCCATTTGAAGAGGTGGACTAAATCATGGACTGGCCAGCCCTGGCCAAGCAATTGGGCCCACTACACTGACGTGAACCACCTTGGGAGATAAAAATTAGATCTGGCACATTTGTGGTGTGGTCCCTCCAGGCTTCTCATTGCTCTGCACATGGGCTCTCAGTAATTTTTTTCATCCTGCAACACCCGTTCTGAGGAGACACTAATGATTATCTCTTCATTTCCTGGAGGGAGGAAACTGAGCGCCCACGCAACTGGACTATCACCATGTGCGCAGGCTTAGGCAGAGCCCAACCCAGAAGCTGCTTCCTCCTCTCCACTTCAGGAACTTACCCTTTATTTTTTTTTTTTTAAGATTTATTTATTCATGCATACAGGAACCAGGGTACAGGTCAGATGCGCGGGAGGGTGACAGGATTCACCAGAGACAGAGGGGGGAACAGAACAGGCAGACTGATGAAATACACTGCTGAGGGGAGCAGCGTGCACGACAGAGGAGGTCTGCCACGCCATGTGGGAATCTCGCCCGTGGGCCCGGATCGAATTCCTGCTGGCCGGGATTGAACTCATGCTGCAGAAGGGACCTGAACTTACCCTTTAAATAGCTCCTCCTAAAACCCTTAGGAGAACTGGGTCATATTCTGCTTTCCCAAACTGGCTCCCTTATGCATGAGTCTAATAAATCCTCACCTGGTTCAACTACCACTAGCACT